ATTGTTATTAGACAAACGAAATGACGTTAATTAAGAAATCAATTTGCCCTTTCGACAGTGGTATTATTGTAATAAAATAAATAAAATATAGGCCTTTCTCGAACAAAGACTTTGACGCTTCTATATAAATCCTCTTGATTGATTAATCATATCATTAACTAAAGTAATCAAATATAACTCGGAGTTAGTAATAATCACTCACGAGACACGACCTTGAGCAAGTGTGCAACCAGCGCCAAATGGCTAGCTCCTCGACCGTAATGGATTTAATCTCCACCGTCCATGACGACATCATAGAGTCTCACATCTTGACACGTCTCGACAGTCCAACCTTAGCCTCCGTCTCTTGCGCCTCCTCACACCTTCACGACCTCGCTTCCAACGAGAAACTCTGGTCCAAAATCTGCTGCTCCACGTGGCCTTCCGTGAGCCGCACAATCATCTCCGATGGTTCTCGTTCTTTTTTCTCCGACGTTTATTCTGTATTCGACGACACCGCCGGTTCAGTTTCTGATCTCGACCGTCCGTTCCCGGAATTGATCTCCGCCGTTGATCTTCACTACAGAGGGAAACTGGTTTTAAGTAGAGTCGTGAAGAGAGAGACTACAACGTCGTGGTTCCGGAGCTCGCCTCTGAGGATCGATCTTGTGGATCACAAGGACACGGTGGCGACTCCGATCAAGCGAGGACGGCGGACGGAAGATACGTGTCGTGATCTTGAAAAGGATTTGACTTTGAGCTGGATCGTGATGGATCCGACCGGAAAACGGGCGGCGAATCTGTCGAGTCACCGGCCGGTATCGGTGCAACGGAACTGGCTAAGCGGAGAAGTCGAGGCAAAATTCGCGACGGTTGTGGGGTCGACGTCGCCGGAAGAGACGGTGGAGTGTGTGATCACGGTGGTCACGTGTGGAGAGGAGGAGATGCACGTGAAGGAAGTGAGTCTTAAGGTGGAGAAGATGGAGGGAACGCATTTGAACGGGAAGGACAGTTTGGTCATTTTGAGAAAAGTCATGGAGGGTAAAAGAGGAAATGGAAGAAGGAGAGAGAAGGAATCAAAGAGAAAACACCAAGAGTTTATGGAGAAGAAGAGAGAAATGAAAGAGAAGAAGATGAAGGTAGAATTGATATTTGACATTTTAACTGTCGTATTTGGGATTTTAGGGTTTGGGTCTCTTGTTGGGGTTTGTCTTTGAAGATGAGTTCTTTAGGCCATTTTCAATTGAGTTTTTTTATTAAGAAACCCACTATTAAAAAAGAAAAAGTAAGAGAGAAGAATAATCGGTTCTTTATCAAAATATCTATGAGGTACTCATTTGCCATTTGTCACTTTATAATTGGTCCGATTTTTACTTTCAG